GTGAGAAATAGCTCCAAGTGTTGTGCATCCATGTGAATATGCTGTTTAACCATCAGCTGGCCAGCAAGCTCTAGAGGAGAAAATATCAAGACCTGAGCAGTTTTGTTAGCTTTTTTTCTACCTACAAAACCCTAAAATATTGTGTTAGTCACCATTATGATTATTATTGTTTTCTTATTTTAATTTATCATTAATCTGTATTATTCCAAATCTGGTGAAATTTGAGATTCTCCAATGTTTATATACCATTTGTATCTATTATAATTATTTCGTTATTATTTCTATAATCACAATTATTTGGGTGCATAATATTTCTACATACAATTTGACTATTTTTTATTTTCTCATTTGTATAAATTGTGATTAGAACTGGAAAGCTCATAATTTGGGATTCTTTTACATTAAAATAATATATTATTATGTTTATTATTTTATATTTTATTGACAATTTTTTACTTGAATCTATTAGTATTTATGCAATGAAAATGAATGAGATTATTTAAAATGGTGATATTTGGGATGCTACCATATTTTTAGATTTTTTTAAATATATTTATTAAATCATTCATTTTTCATTTCAATTTGTTATGAATTTTAATCTAAAAATCTTCAATTATTGTCATCAATGTAGATTTTATCAATATATATTTTGTAGTTAATAATTCATTTATTTTAAGTAGCATTCATTCTTTTTATATTCATCAGATTAAAAATGCTAATATTTGGGGTTCTCCAGTATTTTTAGCCACTGAGTGTAAATACTTTTTAACGTTAGGCTCATTTAGATGAAAAACAGCTGGAAATACTTGACTTTGAAATGTCTGTTGCTCCAAAAAAAAGCTAATTTCCTCCGCGTCAGTTTGAATTCTCATCATTTTGGCTGCGTCTGACATGGAGGTTTTTGTCTTCCTCCACGTGGACTTTGAGCCTCTGTGAGTCACTGCGTGGCCATCAGGAAGGTAAAATTAGAAAAAAACGTATTTACGGTGAGCCACAGCTGGATAGACGGTCCACTCAGGTGAGAAATCAAAGCAAAAGAACAGCCAGGGCTCCCTCTCCGCTGCGTTATGCACGCCTCACGCCCCCCCGGGGCTTCCTGCACCTGGCTGAGGTTCCACATGCTTTCATTCACTCCTTTCCCTCTATTCCCTGCCCCCCCATTGCCAGTCAGAGACGTGGGACGAGTGATTAATTCATAAAGGCAGAGAAAACGTTTGCAGGGTGACGTGTTTACAATTAGAGAGAGGCTTGGGTGGGCTGGGGGGGGGGGCTTTTCGGGCACCAATTGGAACCATAAAGCCAAGCATTTTGCACATAGAGACACCTGGCAGATATTTTGCTCTCTGAGCATTTCTCTGGATGTCATTTTCCTAATAATACCTTTGCTCGACAGATATATAAAAGCCAAAAGAGTCTGGTTTTCCAGCAGCTAGTCCACAGCCACCAGATATCAGACAGATTTATTTTCATTATTTGCATTATAAGAAAAAGAAAAACCCTGAAACTAATTTATGTGTCGTTTCACCCCGTCAGACTTGAGCTATATTCTATTTATCCAACTCAGATAACACGTTAAAGGGGTGAAAGCTTTGATATATTAACTGTTTTTTCTCCACTGAAAAAAAAGGGAAGAAATCTCTGACAGGCCGTCACCTTTAAAATCCAAATGTGGAACTGGGTTTTTGTTAAACCTCTTTATCCTTTCATGCTGCATCCTCCGAGTTTAACTGTTGGCACTGGAAATAAGCTGTTAATCGCAGAAATAACGAAGTTTAGAATCATCACCCAGAAGTTTTTCATGAAAACCAAGATTTGATAGGTACATTGGGATACATGGGGGTTGGATAAAACTTCCTCATCAGTGGATGATTCGTTTGAATTCATTCCATTTGAGAGTTAACATTATTTATGCACAATTTAAACTACTTCCTGGCTTTTGAGCATATGCTTGTTTACAGGCATGTTTTTAGTTTTAGTTTTTTGCAATTTTTTTACTATTTTCAGCCTATTTCATTACCACAGAATCAGCCCGTGTAATCTGCTTTAAAGGTTTGCACGTTAGCATAAAAAATGCGAGTCATGATCAGTTAAAACCACACTTTTTTTGACTCTCCTGTTGGAAAGCACGGGGGCGGATCGATCATGCTTTGGGCTTTTTGTTGCAGCCACTGGGAAAATTTCACCTGCAGGTTCAAGAAAACATTTGATTTATTCAGAGATTTCTGGGAGCAAACTTCTCCTGTTTTGTTTTAAAAACTGAAGGGGAGAGTCTGATTATCCCAAAAATCTGCTTTAATGTCAAAGTACCAGAGGGAAAAAAAAGAAAAAACAGATCTAAAATTCTCAAGATGAGAAGTTAAAACTCTACCTGAGGGGGGAGAAGTGAGAAGTTGGTAAGTTTTGTTTACAATGCTGAAGTTTAAAAAAAAAAGAAAAAAAAGTCAGGGACTCTTTTTTGGGGGTGTTAAAGTGTGAATTTGTGCATCACTGATTAGGGATGGACCCCTGCACAGCCTCACTGTAACTCAGCCTGAATGGCTGCTCGTCCCAGGCTGTGACTAATCAGATTGTGCCGTCCTCGGCCCGACGCGCTTTTTGCTCCACGCTAATTTGGGGCCGTTTTTGCACGCGGCTTAAGCCTCATTGTGTCGCCGCCGCCCCGGACGCACAACAACAGAGACGAGCTTGTTCCCCCGGCCTGATCCTATCGCGCCCGTCCCCGCAAAAAGGGGATTAAGACGGGATTTGTCACGATGCAGCAGAAATTATTGGCAGAGATAATCTCTGGTCCACCTAATTCCCCATTAAAGTGAAAACAATTGGGATTGTTACAGAAAAGCCCAGAACCTGATGTCTATTGATCGTTTTTTTTGGGGGGGAGATGGTGTGATTCTCTGGGTTTTCCACACTTATTCTCCTCCACAGCTCGAGGTTGTCGGTTGAACCACAAATTATTTCCATCTCCATTTCTCACCAGTCTGCCCTTTGAACCCGGAGAAGGGGAAAATAGAGTGATTTATTTCTCAAACAGGCAGTTATCGCAGCAGGAAAAACAGAGATAAAACCGATGTAATCTCAGCTAATTGTTGAGTTACCGTAATTGCTCTCTGCAGGATTTTAATAAATGGAATTTAGATAAAATTGCCTCTTTTCCTCCTGCTTTACGCTTCACATGAGGACAGATGGAAATACAGGAGATCCACAGAAAGCCAGAAAAACGAGCAAATAATTCAGTCCACAGAGAGGCTGAAGCTGCGAAATCTTATCCGTAGGTTGAAAAAGAAGCTGAGCTGAGAAATAATTCAGATAAGAGTTTCACTGAGGACACTGTCTGATTCCACAAGTGGTGGAAGCCTGCAAATCCACAGAGTCCTGCAGGAAAAGATTTACCCCAGCCAGACGTCAATGAGCAAAGATTATCCCACTTACAGTTGTAGGAGCACAGCTTCTCACACTTATTGGGACTTTCTGCTTTGCTACAGAGCTGATAAATCACCATAAATTATACAGAATTAAAAAATAGTGATAAACTACGAGACTAACTCTTAGTTAAAGTGATCAAGGTCATTATCATCAAAGTTTCGACATTAAAAGCTTAAAAACAGTCTGAAAGAAGATGATTCTTTTGTTTTTTTCTTGATAATTTCTTTATTTTAAGTGTAAAAAAACAGATTTATACAAACAAAGCCCATTTTTAAAGTGGAGACTGTCCACATACCAGAATCCGGAGAACCCAGAGAGAACCCACACAGACACAGGGAAAATATGTAGACTCCACACAGAAAGGTCCTGGTTCCCCTGGGATTCGAACCCAACACCTTCTTGCTGCGAGGCGATTGTGCTACACCATCGTACCGTCCAAAACTATGAATTTACATGTTGAATAATGTGAGTGTAAAACAGGACAACGTAAAAAGACGATAGTCTTTCCGAACACATCCAGCTCAGAAGGGAGGAGCCAAGCCTTTAAGAAGGACATGAAACCAAAAGAAACCTAAATGCCAAAAAAAATCAAGATTTTTTTCTTTTCAACTGGGTTACGTGCATTTAAGGAAAGCTGGTAATCTGGAACCTGTTGTACACGAACAACAGATATTATTTCATTCTTTATCAGAACAGAAAAAACCCTTTTAGATGGTGGAAGGCATCAGAAATCTGGTTGTTATATTTATTTCCCACCTGGGACTAAAAAGCTTAAATAAAATCTCTAGAGCAAGAGGAGCCAAAGCTTAGATCTTCACATTTTTTAAAGGAAGCTTGACTTTCTGAACCTGCGCAGCACACAAGCCTTTGAGTATTGAGCCTGTTTGTCATTTACTGTATACTCATTATGCTGTAAAGTTCATAAAAGAGCCGAAAATGAGTTGAATTCTGTGACTTTTGGGGATATTTGTGAGGTTAAACTTGGCAGCCTGTAAACTTCCAGAACTAGAAAGCCCCCCAAAAAAACACAATAATTCAGTTTTATGCATTATTGTCCCTTTGATTGCACAAAAAGCTGCTTTCGTGATGCATTTAAACCCGTAGACGGCCGCCTGGCGGCACCCGGCTGCGTGGTGCTGCATGCAGGTTGAACGTTGGATACATACTCCCAGCGTCCTTTTGTGTTTTAGCTTTAGAATTGGATGGACGGTGGGAGTCAGAGCGCCATCGGGGTTGTTTCTGGCCCGACAACAGGCTGCTGGAATAGTATGGCGAGCAGAGAGGACCCAGACCGTTTTACCTTAATGAAAGTACTGTGCTGGAGCGGCGCCACATCCACTCTCATGAGGACCGAGCAAGAACCAGAGCCCTGTCTGTTGTCCCTGAAATGGTCAAAATACTTTCATTTCATCTTCTCTTTGGGATTTTTACCATCTTTCAGGCACTAAATTACAAAGTCAATAGTTTATTTTCACAGATGTTTGCCCGGTAATTGATGTTTCTCAGCAGAAAATGTGCTCACGCATTTTTTTCCGAATGTTGTGGGGAGGGTTTATGTGGGTTCAGTCTGTTAAAAGATGAGCTCTACGGAACGGCCGAGCAGGACTTTAAAGGGCAAAGAGCAGATTCCGATCACGCCTTTGTCTCCAAGCCTCAGACTGGACTGCTTCGCACAGCTGGTGGCACCCAATAAAAATCGATATCGCTCTCGGTGAGAGAAAGAGCCTTTATGTGAGCCCCGGTTTGCCCCGAGACTGGCAACCTTCTGCTAAGAAGGACAAGGACAGCCGAGGGAGGGGGGGCCGCTGCCACGCAGGACTCAGAAACCACCGAAAAAAAGGGTGCTTTTGGATGACATCATCGCACGAAGAGCATCGCAGTAGCGACTCGGTGAATCAAATCGAATTAAAAGTCACTCAGGAGACACATGAGCTGTGAGCGTTTCCCCCCTCTTTTTTATTCCACTGGGTGGTCTGACTGGTCCCTTTTCCCTTTGGGGTGAAAGCCCCCGCCCCGCCTGGTGTTTGAAGCGCTCCACCTCAGACGGCTGAGTCCTGCTCCGGAAACCGACCGGAGGTGTCGCACGCTGGCATTTAAAGCACCGCCGGCTCGTCAGGCGGGACGTCTGCAGATAAAAGGTCAAAGTTTCGGACTTTTTAAAGGCCACCAACGGTTTCAAGTCTTGACGTGTCTGGCTGCTGATTGGCCTAAAGCTCGCCTCCATCAGCACTTGCTCCAAATAAGCATTAAAAAAAAAAGAAGGATTTCTGTGAACTAAGACTGAATCACGAGGAGGAAAGCTGAGTCAAAATCCTCCAAATCAGCTACTGGACTCTTTGTCATGTTCAAATCCCCTCCAACGGCGGCTGTTTGTCGGTTTGGAAAACCCTCCAAACCCGATCCAAGGACACATCGTTTTCACCTGATTCGACCGATTTCAAGCAGGGGAGTTTTTTACTTTTGCCGCTGTTTTCAAACAGCAGCTTGAAAAGGGGGTGTGAAAAGCTCTCCTGACATGAAGCTTTTAGAGGGGAAAGGCAGACACCCGGCATGCTAAGCAGATACTTTCAGAGCATCCCTGCAACATTCATCAAGAGCCGGCTGCATTGGTAATGTGGCGTTCCCTTAAACTTCTCAGTCTGATCGTCAACATCATCAGTCACAAGGCATCCAATGTAATTATCTGTGTTATGATTTATGCTCATGACAACATCATCAGCGTCACTGTCATCATTTGGAGGGCCTCATCCCTCAGCTCGGGATGCATGGTGAGACGCCCTTCACTTATGGCTGACTTACCATCACGGGGCGGGGGGGGGGGGGGGGGGCTTTCTCCGTCTGGGGTCCTTCTGCACCGCCGCCGTTCTGCTCGGCTGTCGCGCTTCAGTCCATATTTGGCAGAACGGATGTGGAATAACACATGTACCGCCATGCTTTCAGTGCATAACAGTATGCATGGGGGTGTGGGGTGTTTTGGAACTAGGAAAATAGGAAAAATAGATGCTTCCCTTTCTCCACCAGTCGGTTTTGTCCATGAACCTTTTTCAAAAATGGGTTTTGGTCCTGGCAGCATGGCGATGTGGTGGTCAGCACCGTCGCCTCACAGCCAGAAGGTCCTGGGTTCAAGTCCCAGGAACAATGACAGAAGGTCCTGGGTTCAAATCCCAGGAACAATGACAGAAGGTCCTGGGTTCAAGTCCCAGGAACAATGACAGAATGTCCTGGGTTCAAATCCCAGGAACAATGACAGAAGGTCCTGGGTTCAAGTCCCAGGAACAATGACAGAATGTCCTGGGTTCAAATCCCAGGAACAAGGACCTTTCTGGGTGGAATCTGCATGTTCCCTCCAGGTTCTCTGGCTTCCTCCCACAGTCCAATACTTGCATGTTAGGTTGGTTGGATGTTCCAAATTGCCCTTAGGAGAGAACGTTAGTATAATTGGTTGTTGGTCCTTGTGTGTCTCTGTGTGGCCCTGTCAAGGACTGGTGGACTGTCCAGGGTGACCCCGCCTCTCGCCCATTGACCACTGGGATAGGCTCCAGTCCCAATGTGACTCCATTAGGGAATAATTAGTAATGATAATGGATGGACGGATGGGTTCTGGTCCCTTTTTGTCCTGATAAACCAGGGCCGGGTCCAGGCAGGGTCCAGAGAGGGCCTGGCCCCCTCAGATAAACGCAAACCTCAAACTAAATCCTCCCAAATTGATTATTAAATGTCCAAGGCGATGCGGTTTCCTCCTACTGGTCCTGGTGTCTGACTCCCTCTGCACCTGCAGAGAACACTGACGTTAGCATGTCGTTTAATTTTGGTTTACTTGAGTCTAATTATGTTCAGTTAGACGAGTTATGATGCTCGGTGTCAAACATCAGGATTTATTGGACGACATTTGCCTGCTGCCTCTCATTAATCCACTCCGTCACGCCCCGTCACGCTGCCAGTCGTCCTCTGTGACTCCAAGACTGCCGCTTTCAGCATTATCCATCCATCCGTCCATCCATCCATCCATCTGTCCGTCCATCCATCCATCCATTCCTCTATGCATCCATCCATCCATCCATCCATATTCTATATCCATCCATCCAACCATCCCTCCATTCCTCAATGCATCCATCATCCATCCATCC